CAAATGTTGATGGGGGCCAGCTGAACTGAGCCTTGAAATGTTTAGCCCATCGATCAAGACGGCGTTGCTGATCGTGAATCAGCGTGCCATCAGATTCCTTATTCACCTCACGCTTATTTTCCTAGGATCTGTATCCCTAGTTAGATGAAAAACATTCCGACTATTACCATTAGCCGCAACCTTCTCCATCTCTCCTATCCACCATTTCTCGCGGTCATACCTCAGACTCTTGATGAGCTGGCATTCGAGGGATTTGCGCGCTGTGTCATATGCGGTATCGGGAGGAAGGGCTCTGTGGGCGTCCAGCAGGTTAGCCGAGGTCGATGAGATCCATCATTTATGTTTGGAGCCTGCGTAAGGGTATGAGGTTGTTTTTATTGATATTTGCATAGCTTCCTTGATTTGTTTCCAGTGTTCATTGAGTCCTTCGGTTGGCGGTTGGACTGACTGGGGTTCGGAGAGTTCCGCTTCGAAGGCCGTTTGCAACTGACGTTGTATCGTAGGTATCCGTTCTCGGTGGCTTTTTTACGGTTGTTCGCCAGGCGTAAGGAAAATTTGCTCGCAGCAAATTGTGGGCCGTATCCACATGTTTTGACCAGTAAGAGCGGCAGTCTTAGATCGATCCCCTCCAGCGGTACCTGATGGCGATGTGATCGATTTGGGTCCAGCGCTGTGAAGAAGTTGGCGGTTTCCACGTAAGTCGGTGTCGTTTCTTGTGCGAGAAGTTCGCGTTTGACAGGAACAATCCGTGGTCAGCACAGAGTTGAAGCAGACGATCGCCGTTGTCCGTCCGATTGGTTGGGATGGCATGTGGTCCGCCAAGAAGCCTTTCCGATTCGTCCAGGGATTCCACTTGAGCATTGAAGTCTCCAGCGATTACCACGATGTCCGTTGATAGAACGCTTTGGAGTAATCGAGAAAGGTCCTTGTATAATTTACCCGTGATTTCAGGTGTACTGCAATCCGTCGGTGCATACACCGATACGACGAATAGACATCGACCCTTCGTTCTGCAGCTGTTGACCCGCGCTGAACCGTTGAGACGAACGGCATACAGTCGGCTACTGACTGGAATCCAGTCGAGAAGCGAGCATTCAGCCTTGGCACTTAGCGCAATCCCGACACCAGCAACACCGCGAGCTTCGGACGCCAAATCGCCTGACACACGAAGGGTGAAGCGTGAGGTTAAGGTTGGATCAGGAGAACGCAGAGAGATAATGGAATTAGGGTCTTGTATACGTGTTTCAGAGATACAACATACATCTAAATTGAAAGTTTCAAGGGTTCTAGCTACTGCTGATGTTGACCGATCTGATAGTGTGCGGACATTGAACGCGGCTAAATGAAAAAGGAATTTCGGCTTAAAAAATCCTGTGCATCCTGATTGTTTGGACATGTTGGTAAAACGTTGAGTGATATACGATGGGTCTTGTAAACAGCAGGTGTCGGGTATTATTCCGTATCGAGAGGAAGAACTAGACAGATCGGAAGGAGGGTTTTCCAAATGGGTACCTAAGACTTTAGGGCACAGTATACTTAGCGGGAGCTCACACCGACGAAGGGGTTTTTCTTTGGGAACCATAACCAGAGCTTTTGATTCAAAAGTCTGACCCACAAGGTAGTGGAGCGTAAATCCAATGCGGGAGCGTGAACGGAGCACCCGTGTGGGAGCTTCTAGAGACCCGGATTTGAATTTCGATTAATTGTTGTTCGCTGATGCGTTGATTGTCGGTCCGCTTTTCGGGATCATTCCTTAGTCTCATGCACCCAATGAGACAAGCGCAACTTGGACCGGACAGCACCTTATTGGTTGGGGGGCTGCCCAGCTTGGGTGGGTGGTAGCTGTCCAATGAATTGCGAAGAATTCTCCCACCATCGAGAGGAAGCCCCAGGTATCCCGCTCCTACGTCCATCTAGCGGGGTTTTTTGACCGGTAAACTGCCCCTCACCGTGTTTTGACCTCTCTAGGGGCGGGTGTGGATAGAAGAAGGAAGCTAGAAAATGCCCAAGCAGCTGGCCTTGTGAGACTGATCTTCGTCTGGCCTTTACCCGTTGACCTTTCAAGCATGATTGGATCTGCGGCTTTGAAAAGTCATACTGTGTATCTCGCAGGGTCATAAAAGCACGCAAGCTATCACACCACGTCAAGGTGCAGTGTCGTCGTGATACATGTACAACAGAGCACCATCTTCTCACACAACTCACTTCAGCCAGAAAGATACGCTACACACTCCGACGGGATCCCCCCCCCACTATCGTCAAAATGTGCTCCCCAGAACTACCTCCCCTCTACACCGCTTGTTCTAACTGTCCTTTAAACTTGGGATATGCCCAAATCCTTCGAAACACTTTGATATTTCATATTCCCGAACGCCCTAGGGCTCTAATAACGATCGCGATATCTCTCTCACATCAGCTGCATCAAAGGTTATGAAATCGGACATTGCTGATCAACCCTGACGCCACCTGGAGCAGAACCAGCTGCTTTGAGACGGGTAGTACGATTCTGGTAACATTAACCTACTGGTGATCTTCTGGAGCATGTTTGGTATAAATAGCAAGCGGCACTCAGCAGCCACAGAGAAACCTATATGGTGTTGATAGACACACGGAACGCATTCGATCAACTCTAGTTAAAATGCCCAAGTTTAGCTCTCCCCCGGACTTCGTAGCATGGGCAAAAAGTTTCTTCAACGACTGCGCCATCTCCGTGAGAGTAGACACAGTCATGTATCGTTGAGTGTCTGTGAATGGGGTTCCCACCCCAACTTTTTCCTATCATTCACCGATGACCTACTTTCCTCAACCTTCAATTCTGTTCATTATGAAACTACAATCCGTTTGGTACTATTCCTCTTTCTCTCCGTTAACTTCAGCAATGGGCGATGGTGACCCAATGGTTCAGGTCACCAAATGGTGACCCAGAAGTCCCGGGTTTGAACCGTTCCACCGTTGCTTGTCTTCCTCAATTGTGTATTTTCCCAAGCAGCCCTTTTATGGCCCCGGGTCCCTACCTGAAAGTTGACCGTACATTTGTATATTCACTATATAAAGAGGAAGCGAAAATACATCTTTTATTCGCAATGACTGTTCTTCTGTCAGTGTCTCCCCAAATTCTGGTTTTGGCATTATTTCTGTTTGGGGCTGTCGTATTTGTTTTCTATTTAATATAGGGAAAACCTCGTTTATATCCATTTCTCGTAAACGTCAATGCTTTACCCCGAAATCGAATTTCAACTCCAATGGTCTCCGTTACACAAACTCATGCAATTTACAGCGACTGTTCGGCCATAGAGGCCTTATATTTATTCACTTGTCTCCCGAGCTACGTGCAAGATTGGTTTTTGCTTTCGCGCTTTCACTTTCGTTGACCCCCTACTTTACAAAGCTCAGATTCGCCTTGTACTTGAATAATGCAGTTATGTGGGAGGAAATACGTCTATCTCTGTCTCTTCCGGATTACGTTCAACGTAAAGTCGGTCGCCTCATCAATCACCGGTTCACAACATGTAACCAGCAATCACTAGCTCACAAGCAATCGTTCTCTTACCTCTATTCAGCGGTTCTATTTTGGTTTCTTTTCGGCCGAATTTAACTCTTCCGTTGCCCTCTCACTGGTTCATCCTCGAAGGGCCCGCATACAAGAAGATAGTGATCTATTCCAATTGAACAACTCCAGGTGCCGCACTTCAAATTGTTATTCGTCTTTTTCCCAAGAAAACTACAAGGGTACACTCCCACTCTCGTTCTTCTTAAAGGCAGAATCAACAGGCAGGTTCCAGCTTAGATGTTCCTTTCACCCTTCCGGGTACGGCATACCCTTGTAATATGAGGTTTACGCCTTCTACCACGTTCACTTGTGTCATAAGAAATACGTACTCCCCAAAATGTTGTAATGCTTCCTAGTTAATTTGTATGACCGTTGAAAAACACCCGAAGCAGATCACTAAATGCAGTGCATAATTAGAAAAACACTTTCGGACTTTAGCACTGGCAGAAATTTAAAAGGATGTGAACACTTTATGAAGAAAACTACCCCAAGACACCTATCCTCCATTATACAAAGAACTCCCAAAGGCTGCATCATCCACATGCTTGAAGTTTAAACTTTTATTTGTTTGGTTCCGCATATCGTGATTCCGTTTTGATAAATCTCCTAAGTCTGCTTGCTGGAAAGTGAATATTTCGACAGAAGCCCAAAACTGCTTGCTTCGCAGAAAAAACAAGATATCTGAATTATCAAACATTTTATTGCAACTGATTCGGTGCATTTCATCTTCAGTTATATGGTGTATAAAAGCTGAAAACCAGCACAAAGGCTATTGCCGACTTGATTTGAATAAAGGACAGCAACAGACGTGAAGGTTTTCAAAGTTCAAACAACGTTGGGTGCCATAATTGGCTGACAGCAAGGCAGGTTGACATACAGACAACAAACAATATACGTAGCAAATTGCTGAAGCAAGATGTGCTCCATTTGGAAACTGCTCAGTCACCAAGTAGTCTCAATTCGGTGTCATCGAATAACTCTCACCAGAACATCCCAGTCACCATTGGTGGCTGGAACAAGCGCGAGCTCAAAATTAGCCCCCTGAACCTGAAAGAACGTCAGTGAGATTATTTAGTTCCCCTCCGAGCAAATTTGTGTGGATATTTTGAATAAATCCAGACAGACAGCAAACAGTATTGGAATTCAGTATTTACGCTTATATCAACGGGTTTTATCTGTCTCTTCAACTAACGTGATCACGAAAGGGGATTTTCGTCGTACATTTGGTCTCTTGTCATAGTTCAGTAATTCTCGGTTTGAATGAATTGGTCAGGATACAGCAGCTATGACTGCAGTTTCATATTCAATCTTTTGAAAGGGACTTAGAAGTACGGCGGTGAGAAAAACAAGGCATTATCTTTTTAATGCGAGGAGCAAATAACCGAAAATAGAAGCAACAACTCGGATATGCGTCCACGGTAAAGCCAATGAATCGGGGTTGTTGGAAGACTCACCTTTTGATTTTCTCATTGACCAAAATAAGTGCCTCCGAAACTTTATTGGCGCAAACCATCTTTGAGGCGTATAAGTTGGCATCGAAATCCGGACAGGAGAATTCCGAATTCTCCTGAGAAAATTCAGCGGTCATTGTGCCAAATAATTTGTATAGAACTTGACTGAAAAAGACAATGATGAACAGGTTTATAAGAAGAAAGGTTTATCAGTGTTGTACAACTACTTTGATCAGAACGGACGACGACTAGAAAAACATTCCGCCAGAAAACAGCCGATGCAACACTGAGTAAGACCTTGAATAATTTATGAAAATTTATTAATTGGCAAATCATCAGGTATTACAGCAGCAGCAACAACGTAGCATAACTATATACTCCCGAATTATAATAGTTCACAAAAGAAGCCGTGGAAATGTTAACAAGTTTGCAAAAAAAGCATTAACATGGGGAAAGACCGTAAAGTGACCTGCATGACACGAATAAACTTTACGGTAATACAGCTGATAGTATTCTGGTAAATGTGGCCACTCCAACTCCGCTGACCAGAGGATCATTCAACTGTTAAATTGATGAGTCTAAGATTAATACTATAACATTCAAAGGTTGTAGGTCATAAAATTACGGACATTGAAGTACACTTACGAACAACAGTGCGCTTCATTGATAAATATGAGGCTACGTTAAATGCCCTTCTACAGGATAAATATTTTCCTGAGGGTATACGACTACCAGTGAAAACTATAGAGGGGTTACACAGACTAAACGAAGAGTTCAAGTCACCGGATGTCAGCTAAAACTAGGTAAGCGTCATTACAATTCCCGGTAGACCTGATCGACAGTCGACCCAGGGAAACGTTTTTACTACTTTGTTTAGGTAAATAAAGTTTACATGAAAATTTTTCCCGAGAAAGATATAATACAAAAACCTAAAATTGGCATGTGTTAACGTTATATCTAATTACGCTAATTTTTTTTATATGCTCACTCATTTTTGTGCGTTATTTTCAGTTTCTACAACCATTAACCATGCACTATCGTGCGCCGGTATTAGTCGATGCCTTTTGGCTGCCCATTTGAATGAACATGAGGAGAAAGACAGGAAAGGTTGAAAGTAGGATCGAAGAAAAAAATTAGGATTTCATTGCACTACTTTTGCAGAGAAATCGACAAGATGCAGGAACGCCACTGTTAACGACACCCAGTCATATCACTCAGTGTGTCTAACCATCGGGTATGAGCAACTTGAGGTCCCCAGCCAGGGAGCCTAACGGGACCTATGCGACCCAGACTCCTGGTTAAGGTATCATACCCTCATGCCAGGTCTTAGCTTGACCACCCTTGACTTTCTTCCACCCACTACCTGCCTCGGCAAAAATTGCTCGCCGTGGCAACCTATCTGGTGACATGCGTAACACATGTCCCAACCAACGTAATCTATGGAGGTCGATCTGCATTTACCCAATACTCTGCGCCTAACCTCAGCATTGTTCGTCCGACTGCCCCACCAAATCTGTGCAATGCTGCGTAGACAGCGATGTTCAAACACCCACAATCTATCTACGTCCTGTTTTCTTAATGGTCAAATTTCTGCACCATGTCGCAGAACTAGCCGAACTGCTACAACATACACTCGACCCTTAACAGACAGCCGGATGTCGCGACGGCGCCACAGATGTCTCAAGTTGGCAAATGCCAGTCGAGCGTTCTGTATGCGAGCTGACACTTCATCCGCGATGCGTCCACCGGGTGANNGAGACATTTAACGCATTTTTTGCGTTAAATGTCTCATGCTTCGTGGAAGCGGCCATTTCTATCTCTGAGGTGAACTCTGTTTGTACAAACGGCAGACACTTTTACCGAATTTCGATGTTTATCAAATAAAGGCAGTAGGAAACTTCCCGTATAAGCCTCGTCACCACAGACTCAATATATGCATTCAGAACTGATCTGCATTCCACATTTCGCAAAGAACACGGTCAAGCTTCCTTTTACACACGTCATCATTTACGTTATCCAGCACATTGGCTGAAAGGGAGTTCCATAGGTTGGTTACCCTGGGCGACAGTCACTACCTGAGAGGTAATCAGTCCAGTTTAGTTTTTACAACCATTAACCATGCACTTTCGTGCGCCGATTTTGGTTGCTGTCTTTTGGTTGCCCATTTGGATAAAAAAGCGAAATGAAGATTGGAATG